ACGTAGTTGTTTCGGAATCTATGATCGATAGAGAAGTTAAGGATACGTATAATCTCAAGATCATTGCCACAGACCGAGGAAATCTGTCGTCTGAAGCTTATCTTACAATACGCGTTATCGATCTAAACGACAACGTTCCCGTTTTTAAACGTATAAACGTATACACCAAAGACAAACTGAGAGTTGCAGCCAGTACCAAATCGAATATATCGGTCACATTGGGTGACTATTCAATACCACATCGATTGGACAACGCCACTACCACCGCTGTCGTGTGGCTCCCCGAAACGATACAACCGGGTACGCCGATATTGGCAGTGAACGCCGAAGATGCTGATTCCACTGGATCAACTATCACGTATAAACTGGCAAGAAGTGGCATGGAGTTTGCTATTCATCCGATTTCAGGTCAGCTATCCGTGGTGGGTCAGTTGAAAATAGGCGAACAAGAATTAAACGTCACCGCGGAAGACCAAGGTGGTCTGATGACTTGGATATTGATAATAGTATTCGTCGAAGAAGATATTTTATTCGAAAAAAAGTGAGTGTTGATATAATATTGTATAATGTAGGTATATCTACTAAATATTGTAACATTTTTTGTTTGCATGAACTCATATATATATAAATAAATACTTAATATTGTTATTACTTATCATCATCATCATTATCCCGCTGTATTTTTGCATATTTAGATCGTATGAATTTTGGGTACCCGAAGGTGCGTATAAACATCACGAAATTGGTTGCATCACTACGGAAGAAACTTCGGTTGTATACTCGTTAACCAAAAAAAGTTATCGGAATCCCACGTTCGTTATGACTGACGTCGGTTGTTTGTTGGTGTCCGGTGATCTAGACAGGGAAACCAGAGAATCGTTTGACCTGCGGTTGACGGGCAAAAGAAAGTCGGGTGGAACTCCGTCGACGGTGGATATCGTCGTCAAACTGTTAGACGTAAACGACAACGCACCGCAGTTCCGAAATCATCATCGAGTGCGAAAGTTGTCCGCCGACGAAATCGGACTGAAAGGATTTGAAGGAGACCTCACAGTGCCCGTTTACGAAGCTACGTTATCCGAAGCAGGTACCGTAGGAACCATGATCACGAGAATCGTGGCCGAAGACCCCGATGGACCTGAAGACGGAAATTCTCTAGTTACGTACAGTCTATTCGGACCGGGTTCAGCATTTTTCGACATAGATCACGTAACTGGAGTGGTTACATCAAAAATTCCACTGCAAGGGGGTATTTACAATGTTACCGTGGTTGCATCGGATTCAGGTTTCTCTAGGAAAGATAACGCCGCGTTATTAATCGTCAGCGTTGCTGACAAGAACTCAGGAGTCGAAGAACCGTTGCTCGAACTTCGTTATTTCGAAGTGGAAGTCGAAGAAAACTGTTTGGTGCCCTTAGAAATTCTCAAACTTAATGTGACATCGCGGTTTAGACGGTCCGCTTCTTCCGTAACTTATTCAATAATCCCCTCGGAAAACAACGAGAGTTTTGAGTGAGTCAGCGCTGCGTGTCAAATTTTTATTATTATTATTATTATTATTATTAAGTGTTACACCAATCATAAAATTACATTTTTTTCATCAGGATTGACTCAAAAAACGGCAATGTTTATCTTATCGAAAGTCCTGATCGAGAGTCTACTCCGACTCTCACTGTAATGGTTCGTGTTGAAGTGACAGGGAGGAAAGGAAAATCTACTTATATGGTTCATCCGGTCGCACACGACATAGGTACGAGGTTTTAGCATATAGCAATATTGCGGTTGTAGTTAAATTATCAAACATAATGGTGTTTATTGGTTTAGCTCTCAACGAAGCTCGAATCGTACTCAGAATAATCGATCAAAACGATAAATCTCCGATTTTCACAAACGATAGTATGCCAGTGATCGCTGCCGTGTCTCCGTTGACAGGTTATGGAACTCCGGTGGCAACAGTTCAAGTATGTTTTTTTTAGTGTATTTAATGTTAAAATATAATATGAAACTATTATTTTGAACCCTCACTAAATAAACTCGTATATGACTTCAGGCAATAGACCCAGATCTGGACATCAACTCGGCCATTAGGTATACGATCGTCGGAGATCCCGTCGAAAAAAGATATTTCAATGTTGACGAGCACACGGGTCTAATACGAACAGTCGGAGGATTTAACCAACTTATAAACAATACCGTTTTTGGATTTGACATACGAGCAACCGACAAAGCCGGCGCTCCCAACGGGAGATCGGCCATTACAAATGTCTTTGTAAGTATTACATTTTGATAAAATTGTCTATTATAAGTTCTCTGAGTAACATACATCCCTATGTTTTGCAAAGGTTTACGTTTTGGACGATCAGAAAATAATAACATTAGCGTTGGGAAAACAACCGTCAGTCGTTGAGAAAAACACAGATGTCATAACGAGTTCAATGACTAATATTACTGGATGTATGGTTAAAATATGGAGGATAGATTCAAATACAAATAACATGTAAGTTATAAGTTATAACTATCTACCAATTAATAAGCGGCATAAGATTAATAGACAATCGGTTCAGTTAAAAATTAAATTGTTAAAATATTTTGTACCTATAATCTTAGGCAATAATATTACACATGTTTTGTTATTTTAAATTGCTAAAAAAATGTATTTTCAACTTTTATTGATTTTCAATAAAATATAATTTTACTATTAAACAGTAAAATGTATTAGTATTATTGAAAAAAAAACAATAATATATTCTAAATAAGTATCGTTATACTAACCGAGAGGACTCTAATTTTAAATCTTGAACACATACCTAGTAAATAGTGTATGAATGTATTTTCTAAAATACCCATTGAATGATTATTGTACTTAAATATTTACAAAATTGCACACACCAATTTCAGGACTGACATTCAACTTTATGCTGTGGATCCTATTACAAACGCATTGGCAGATAGTGATTTATTAATGAAGTGAGTACATTTTATAATATTTATTTATATTTTAAAATACCGTCAAAAGCTTACTATAGTGCTTAACTGTATTTATTTCTTTTAGTTTGATGTTGGACCACCAAGATGAAATCAATCACGAACTAAAGCCGCTGCAATTCATCGGATTTTCCCGCATACCGAAAAGCCACAACGACGTAGTGGTGGAAAACTCATTAAGTCTTTATACGACGTTTGAACTGTTAACAGTTCTGTTCGGATTTATTATTTTCATGGGGGCCATAACCGGCGTGACGTGCGTGTGCACGGGACGTAAAAGGTATGAATAATAAGTATAAAATAAAAATAAAAACATTTTGAGACGTACTTTTTTAACGTTTGTTGTGAACGGCTATTATATTATTGTTAATACTGTATGCACTTGCAGGGAGAAAAACAAGACTATTACTTCCTACGGAAATTTCGGTTTCCACGAGAGGTCTCCATTCACTTTGAGCAACGGAAGTTTGGCCAGGCTGTCGACCTGCGAACCCAGATCGCTACAGAACCCTACGTCGTTCATGGAGGGTTCACTTTTGTACGGCGGCGCAGTGACCAACCCTAAACACCTGCGGAGGGGTCTGCGATGCAATCAGTCGAGGTCGATCATACCAGTCGAACCGCCAATCACTCATTTGCGGCCTCAGTGCGGGAACAGGAGCGATCATCACGATCATCTGCAAAACGATTGTTGTTCGTGTAGCAGCGCTACAGGGAGCACAGGCACCGCCAGTTTAACCGGATCCTTTGTCATGAAGTAAGTGTGTTGCCAATCCAATGTCACACAGGTTGATTCCCGAAGGACGCTCACCCCTTTTTCCTTCAATAATGGAGTTATTTAAATTTGGAATTTTGGAAATTTTAAATATACTTGAAGAGCATATTTTCGTATATCTGAGATTTTTTGTACTACTTAGGGGGTTCTATGGTGATACAAACTTTTGTTTTTCAGATGGGAACCCTAATTTTTTCTGTAAATTGCTTAGCCATAAATTATTTTAGAAATTTTGATGTATCCAAAATAAAATTCGAACAAGTGGTTTCTAAGTTATATTAATGTCGTACTGTGGGTAGGCATAAAATAGGATTGTGTGGTTCGATGTGATTATTTAACTGTATCATTCAACAGGTCTAGCGACAATTTTGAAGACTCGTTGCGTTCGATTGATAGACCCAACAATAACAGCAGCTGTCAGAGGCATCACCGGTGTTGCAATGAAGATGATCCGAATAAGACACAAACGAACAATTCTAATATTAAGGTCTGCAAGTGTCCATTGGCACTGTGATTAAACTGCTCATTATTTTATTATTATTTTATAAATGTTGTACATATAATATTATGTACAGATTATATATTATTATTATTTAATTTTTTGTTAAAATAAAATTTAAAAAAAAATGACACACTATGACATATTTCTTGAAATAGTATATTTCGTAATAAAGCAATATGATATTATGCGATATGTTCACATTAGATGGAAAATGATCGAATTCCCATTGAACAGCATTATAATATATCATGCAATTGCACGTAGTGGCAAAAACAGTGCATAAGTCCTTTTCCCTGTAATAATTATTAGAAAAAATTGTTAAGCACTTAAACACTTAAAAATTAATGAAAAAAATATACTATTATGAACTGTTTTTAACTGACGGCTGTGCAATAATATTTTGTAAATAAAAACAATTTAGTTATTTAATTGGATACATTTTACATTCTACAAATGCTGATGTTGAACAAATTTAGCAGTAACTACAAAATGCATTCACAATAAGTAAGGAAGGATAATTCATAACCGTTATAAAAGATGAAATATTTTAAAGTAAAAATATATAATATACGGGGGTATCTTTCATAAATTTATATTGAAAATGAAATAATCGTTTGTTTAAATTAAATACGTTAAGTACATGTCCTAAGTATGCAGTTATATCATACTAATTAATAATATAATATCATAGAAACTAGAAAGTGATATGATTTTCGTTAATTTAGTTAAATTTTCTAACTATGTTTTCTATTGGTATATTAAACTTGATAAATAAAAATGTAATACAAAATATATTCCGATTGAATAAAAAAAAAAACGAATTATTTTTTTGTTAAATTAAAAATTATTATCAACCAAGAATGTATAAAATGTAAGACGCGTTGGATAGCCAATGTAAGGCCGAAAAATTATTTTAATACAAGACCATATTATATGAAAATACATTGTAATATTGTATATACTTTTGTGTATATTAATTCATAGACATTTTTACGTAGAGTATCTAAGTATAAACAAAATTTAAACTATAAAATATATAGTAAATAACTATTATTTATTATACATCTTAAATGTAAGTTTAAATATGACTTGATGACATGATTATTGGAAGAACGGTGTTAGAGTATAATATATTTTAATTTCCAAGAAAAAAACAATTTGAAATGAAATATACATTTTTATAATAGAACATTTAATTTTGATTTTATGAAAATATTTTCACTCAATAACTCCATAGCATTACTCTAATAAATAATTAAAGTATTATGAACACAATAATAGTATGTTATGTTATAATATAATATTGCATCTTGTAAACTAAATTTGTCATTGGTGGTAATATAATACAAATATTGAATTATTATACTTATATTGGTAGGGGACGTTAAAAATATATTTGCAGTACACTTGTGACCGGACCTTTTCTGTTGTGTATACACACAACACGTCAATACACGATGATGTATTATTTTATTATTACTTTGTGTTTGATATTTTAACTTATTTAACGTTTTTCTTCGCGAAATCGTTTTCGATTTCGGCGAGCGTTTTGCCTTCAGTCTCAGGCAAACAAATGTATATGAATATAATGCCGATAGCTGCAAGGATTCCATACAGGAAAAAGCATCCGTATAGATCCACCGAGCTTTGAAGATTCAACCAGGTCTTCGACACCAAGAAAGCGATGCCGTAAAAGATTGCAGCGCACATTCCGCTAGCCACTCCTCGTCCTCTGTAACAGCATAACAAACAGGGACATTTTTAACGACGTCTCATAAAAACAAATGGCCGTTAGGAAGAATTAAATATTTTCAAAAAAAAAAACGTCACCGGTTTGGAAATACTTCGCTGATCAGCAACCATGGTATGGGACTGATGCCCAAGTTTATGGTGAAGTACAGCGTACAAAACAGCAACAGTGGTATCGTCGGTACGGATGACCACTGGTGTTGTGTTGTGACGTATGTGTAGGCGCCCAAGGATAGGCAGCACAGCGCACAGCCTGACATGGAGACCAACGACAGAGCTCTTTTTCCGACCAGGCGCACCAGACACATGCATATCAGTGCTCCTGTGCCCTGTAAGGCCGCAGACAACACCTGCAACGGTAATTATTCATAACTAATTAGATATTAAACGCACAATAGTGACAATGGTTGATTGTATGAGTACCAATACTGTCTTATATTATCGGTGGTAGGATAAAGAAAAATTCGTATCTATTATCATGATTAAACTAGGAGTAAACACACAGTAATAGCTTTATAAGTCATTTGTACATTTACTATTTATATTCATAATTAATAATTATTACACACCTATGTAAACGATTTTAAAGCGATAATATTGGGTGGTTGTTGTTTATCCTTTAAAAATGTGTTTATGCCTAGAGATACCTAAATTTCTTCTGCCTATTTATCGGTACATGATTATAATCAGGAGGACTTTTCCCGACCGCCATTATTTCATAATTTAGATTCTAGTTGCATCTCTGGGCTCTAAAATCCATGGACCTCTGGGTAATATCGTCTGCAGTCCATCAAATTGCTATATAATATATTGTTTTATATAGAACTGCGGGTATTCAATATTCATATTGTATTGTTAAAAAACAGCATGCTTACAGTGAGTACGTTCGGTGATATTGGCACTTCCAGACGGGAAAAGACTTCGATCATGTATGGTCGCATGGCCGTCAGCGATGCGGCGTGGAAGAAGAAAAAGTAGACCACGACCAGCCGCAATGGTATTAAGATCCCGGGACGCAAAAAGTCCCTGACCACGTCGATGGCGTTGGGTTCTCTCTTCGTGACGAATTCGCTATCTGTAGGAAACAAAAACAAACAAAAAAAAACATTACTTATTGTTACTACTGTTCTTGATTTGCCCATCCCTAGACGGGGCTCGAAAAAAATAGCGAATCGTCGAACCTGGAACACCGGTGTATCCGGACGATTTTCTGATCTTGGCTTCCAACAAACTGTGGAACTCGTTTTTAGATTTCTGACAGTACAGTTCAAGATTGTGAAATTCTTCACTCACCTCTTCGGCGGAAACCCAGCCCCGGAGCCATCTCAAAGACAACAATGCTTCGTCTCTCCTTCCTTTCGTCAATAACCAGACGGGTGATTCAGGGATCTGGGTAACAGGGGCTTATTTAGTACGTTAAACTGGAATCCAAATTATCCCAATAGTATTAATCGACATATAACTATATTGAATTCAATTTTTTTACTCAAACTCAATTAAATACAATGTTTTTGTGATTTTCTAAGGTAAATATTTGTTGTAATCGCTTATTTTAACACACACAAATTAAAAAAAAATATTACGTTTTTATTCCTAATATTATGTGAGATCGATTATTAGTTTTTGGATTTATAATATAATATATCAATATAGAAAATAACATTTTTTTTTTTTTTATAAAAATCATTTGAATCTTATAAATTATAATAACTAAAACTGAATATTGATTTGAAAAATCGTAAAAATTATATTCTACACATTGTGAAAGAATACTCTGCAAGTTATTTGTTTTAGGTTCAAATGAATTTTAGATAGAACATTTACTGGAAGAAGATAAAACCTATAGTTCGATTATGATCAACCATAGCACAATGCGTAAATGTAAATTAAATATTATAGGTGTCCATGTAAGAATATCATAACGAGAAATGAAATTGATAAGCTATAGTCACACACTTACACTGAAATGATATGTAAGATACGGGGTACAAAATGATAGATATCGGAATAAAGCTTCATAAAAAAGTTGGTATCATAATGATTGAGCTCATATAGTAGAGAGTTTGCATCTTTGTATTCTAATTATTTTTAAATCATGCATGTATATTAATTTTTTTTGCATGAAAATAAGGTTATTATTACTATTATTAATGTTGATTTCATCATTAAAAACTAGTTTTGTCGATTACATGTGTTATAGTATTTAATTCGATGTGGCCAAGATAATGATGAAGTATAATATTGTAACTCTAATTTTCACAAATACTCGATCTGTAGCGAATCATCAGAGATTATCACTCGTATATTCAGAAAAAATGATTTGAGAACCCTAAAATGGGAATTACTAATTCAAGTCAAAAGATTATGACGGAAAAGGGCTATTCTCCGTATTGTCATTGTTGATACAACAGCAATAATCGTAGGGAAATGAACAATGCATATTATCTATTATAAATGTCTATATTGTGGTATATAAATCAGCAAACAGTCAACTATAATATATATAATGATATTAGAATCAGAAAATTAATCAAACTGTCAGCATTTGACCAGTTGCGTATAGGTAATTACATGCGTTTAAAAATGCAGTCATAAAAATTACAAAGAAGATGACGTATTTTATCAAAATTATTGGATGAAATATAAAATGAGTATGTATTTGACAGCTTCAGACATATTGCCATATGTTAAGTTTAGAGATAAATCTACACTGCAGATTGTTACCAAAGTCCAGAACTCGAATTACGATTATATGAACACCGATTGTATACTTGTTTGGCTTATAAAAATATTTATAAGTATCTTAATTTTTACAAGGCCAATAATGTCATTTTCAGTCTACAAAAATCATTATTATTATTATTATTACTATTAATCTCAAAATTATTTCTTTCAACTCAAATTGTTATTTATTACACGCATAACCGATATGGCTCAAGGGTTAATATGAATTATTATAGTGTCATGACTAAAAAACTTAATTTTTAGCAGTATATGGTTTGAAAATAATGTTGTATCATATACATTTATATAACATTATAACAATAACTGTCACCCACCTCATATAATATGGTTTTTTTAAAACCGTTAGTTTTGATATACCAAAAATGAATATTGATAAACCAAATGTTATCACAAGCCCTGATAAGTTATGTTACATTAAACTAAATTTAAAAATATTGCTTTAAAATAAATGTTGGGCTACACGCTAAGCATTCCCCATTAGTAGAAATATATTTTTATTAAGCTTATTCCCCCCCAAAAAAAATAAAATGTTGTCCTACCAGCAATATGGAGACGGCGGCAATCACAGGCACCAGACCGCTGACGAGCATTGTCGTCCTCCACGGAAGTATACAACCTAGTACAAACTCCAACAGATGTCCCAGAACGATCATGGAGCTGGCAAACGTGGACAGTACGCCCCGGACGTCCGGTTCACTGATTTCGCCGATGTAAGCCATGGTGGGCGCCTCCAGGAACCCAATGCCTATGCCCATGGCGGCCGAGGCGGTATACAGCACCCACGGGGACCCAGCAGTGTATAGTAGGTACCAGGCGGCCAGGTGGGGCACGTTCACCAGCAGCATGCACCACTTCCGGCCAAAAATGCCCTGCAAGCATCCCGACAGCATGCAGCCCAGAGGTTGGCACAGCAAAATTATACTAGCTGCAGCAGAGTCCCGGACATTTTTTATGAACGTTACAATAAATTTAAGTTATTATGTACATATAATACTAGTTGTCCCATCTAGACAAAGACTTGTTTTTTTTTTTTTTATTAATAAATTTGTGAAAAAAAAATGTATATTATGCCATACCTATTTCTACTAATAATATATAACATAATATAATATAATGTAATATATATATTATATTTCTATTATAAAAGTACTGAATAACATGTAAAAAATGACAACCATTAAAATAAACAAAAAAATATTCTTTAAAAAATAAGCTATATTACACATTCTCTAAGTCACAATGAATCTATTTAAATAACTCGTATTGAAAACTTAACTGTAGTTTTCGAGTCTGTTAAGTGGACGATATTCAGACATAGTTGTTGTCTTCGTCTTACATATGTGTGACATACTAAAAATATAACCCTTATAAAATGTAAAGGTAAGATGATCTAGGGCATATTTTAAGTTTTTTATTACATTTTAATTTTAATGCTAGTTATGAGTATTTTAAGATGTACAAACAATTCACAGTATTATGCATATGATTTTAAATACATTTGAATACCTATTTATTATATTAATTATTTGAGACTTGATAAAAGTACAATAGTAATTGCTATTATAAGAAGACTCAAAATACATAATAATGTGGCCCAAGTATGTGTAAATTGTTACCTATAAAATTGTCAACCAAAATTAATTTCGAGATGTGAATATAATTTTTGAATAGTTTTTTCTGTAAGTCTTACGAAGTAAAAAAAAAACACTCAAGTCAATGAAAGCTGTACGAATATTGATATAATTATCAAACGTAATATTGTAAATTTACCAATCCACGAGGACTGAGTATCGTCTAGCGAAAGGCCCTCTTTTGCGTTATGGAGGGCGCCGATGACAATTGTTGGAACGACTATCATCATTCCCAAGTCCAACATCAACAAACTCTGAGCGGCCATCGCACATACCTGTGTATTAAGAGCACCATTATGTATTGTAATTTGTAATATCATACTCTAAAAGATAAATGTTTTGTATTAAATTATTAATACATGTAATAATTTATAGTTTTAAACGTTGTCAGGCCGCTATATAATTTATTTTACTTTAATTATTATGCACGAAAATAGATTGTTAAATTACTGTACTAAATATTTAAACGTAACACAATGTATTATTAACTTTATTTACAAGTACTATACGAGTGTACGATATCTACATCCATTTTAGCATTAATCTGATCAAATCGGCAATTTTAAGGAAATTGTTTTATTAATAACTATAATAAAAAATAATTCTGGGGTCACCTGTGTATATGTGCGTGTTTTTACAAACCTTACAAATTACAATGTATATGCTATACTATACAGAATGATTCATCAAGCTTGTTCACCAGATTTTATTATTATATCAGTATTAATTAAAATTAAAATGTTTTTAATTTTTAAGATGTATCATGTGGTGATAAAAACTTCTTAAAAAAAAAAAAAAAAAAACATTTAATTGTTATTACATTATTGGTCAAATTACTTTTTTTAAATATTAATATATCTGAACCCACATTTTGTAGTTTGTGAGTTATTAAAATGTATTTTATACTATATTGACTATGCAGTCTTTTACCATGGTTTTACAAGGATTATAAAATAAAATATTATATTATTAATTTTTGTACACAATGTCTGTACATTGTTGACAAAAATTATAAAAATGTAAAAATGTATACAAATTACTATAATTTTAAAATAACCACAGCCCACGTCATGACTGAACCTATTACCTTATATTATTATTCAGTATTCTTGTTACTTGCAGTTAATTCACTCAACAATTACTCGTTTAAATGTTGATCTATTTAATATACATCGACTTTTTCGAAAAATTAAGCTCCATTTATTTACAATACAGAGGGTGGTTCTCGTTTGAAAAAAAATAAGTATGCATCTTTACAGAACATTTATTTCATAAAAGACTATGTAGATACTGCCATGAAAATATGGTTTTAAATTAATTCATTTAATATTGTAGTTTGAACTTATTTGAAAAGTCGACAAATCAGAATTTGAATCAATGTGCCAATCATTAAAGGAAATATTGGGGATGAACATGCTCGGCGAACCACTCTGTACAATATAGTACGTATTGTCGGCATAACGCAATTATTACTTCTATGGCTCTACGGTTATACGGTTATTATAATGTAACCTGTAGGGCTGTAGCAAGTATATTATTATGATAATAGCCATATAATTATCATTACTAATTAGTTATGACTACAGCGATTGAAATAAAAATCGAACGACTATCAAAAATAGCAGATAATATTATTATAAAATTATTGGCGTGTCGATAGATCGTTTCCCTGTTGTAGTAGTAGTCGTTACTCGTATAGTATATACTATTTTATATGCGATGTATACAATTATTAATTATACCCACCTGTGATAATATTCGTTTATATTTATGCCGGTCACTCGTAATGCTGGATTTAATTAGCAGCGATCCAGGTTCCCTGTAAACAAAATATTATCTTATGAAGGTTATTTATTCAAAGCACTGATCGATTTTTATTCTCCAGCACTGTTGAGATAACTTCGTGAAGTTATGTAGGCTGCGCCTACATTACAACAGTATAAATAAACTATCGTAGTGTCGTGTTCATTATTTCGATAAATCACATACCTATTACATAACCTTGTAACTCGAAAACCATCGGACCCATATTATAATATATCGATAATAATATTTGTCTTGTCGTGAAACGGCTACAACAATATGTGTACGTTCCTTTCCTCTGCACCTTTTGAAGGACATTTGATTAACACTACTTTGTTTGTTAATAAATTATTATCATGCATTTTTCTTCCCACGAATTACAATATTATATTCGTTTCACAACAATACCAATATGGTTTGAATTTACATTTACACTTTAAAATCGCCGACAATAATATTGTACACGATTTTAGGTAGATGACTTATAACAGTTATAACCATAAAAGATTTGATTATTATTCGTGTTAGGTACCTATTGACTGTTAAGTACTATAAGTTAATATGTTCTATTAAGTATGGTCTTATCTAGTCTCGACAGTCTCGACATTGACCAATGAAATTCAAAAGTAAATTATTATATTTTTAAATTTCAATAAGCAATTCAAAAATAATTAATGGAAATATTTTCTTGTAGACTGCAAAGTCATTGCTCTCGGTTTATTAAAAACATTAATTTTAATTGAGTGGCTACAGCCGAGTATAATTTTTTTGTTTGATGACATTTCAATGAGCATAACATTATAATTAGTACAATTCAGGATTTCCGATGTTTAAAGTGTTTTATTTTGTTTTTGATTTAAAACAATCTATTTGATTTTGTATGTTGAATATACTTAAAGCATTTATTCGCATTTTCTTATTAACTTAAATTAATTAGTGTTAAAATCTTATACTTAAAAATTAGTTTTATAACTATAGGTTTTTTTCTTTATTGTATTGGAGGCAAAACCTTTTTTTAATATACTTAATATATTTACATAAATGGAGTAAAATTGTTGGTACTTGTCGTGTAGCAAAAACAATATACTACATGTATCTTATACATAAGAAAAAAATCTTTATTTGTTTTAGATTCCGCACGAAAAAATTGAAAACATGGTATTTCGAATTTAGACTGGTGATGATAATTGTTTTATTTATAAAAATGCATACGTGATAAGTCACATTAACTCTATTTTTAATGTATCTGAATTTTATCAATACAAAATTATTAAATAACGAGTTACTTTCCCAAAAAGTTTACTGTTAGAATTCTTCTATGGTTTATTTTTGGAGTTGATTACTTTTCCAACACTTCCACCGTGTGCGTTCGATGATAAAATTCCTCAATAAACTGTACATTCGTAAAATTCGATGAAGTTACACACTGTCGAAGTAGTCGGCTGTAATCGTACTACGAGCTTAGCTTGGAAATGACAAAATTCCAGTGACTTCCGAGTTCCACAATACAATCGTCCGATGGGTGCTCACCTGGTGTGCAGCTATTATGATCCGTCAATGTCTCCAGGCCGAACCCGGATTCGATTACTCGGTGGCGTCAACGTTGTATATTACCATACAATTTAATTCGAATAAATTATTCGAAAGCTCATAAATGGTAAATATAGATTTTTTATTCAACTAAGCTAACCACATCAAATTATAATAAAATAAATAATTTATACAACATTCTGTGTAATAGATTTACATTATAATGATTGACATGAAAAATCCGAGCAAATCCGTGGACTAAATATTTGTCAACAATTAATGCAAAATGCATATGTATACATTACGTATTTTAATTTAGTATATATTATATTCTAAGGGGAGCGATAAATGTATTGATTTTACAAGGATGTGTGTCGATTTTGGGTTTTGCTGTATTTCTAAATAAAAAATATCTTGGATAGGTACATGGAATTTTCACTGAATGTTTATATCCACATTTTCTAATTAACATACAATTTTCAAATTATTTTGATTCGTGTTGAATTATTTGTAGTGTATCATTAAGAGTCCCGCAAGATGGCCATTTGTCATCTATTTTATTCTCACTATTCGTTGTTAGTACTACCAGCACTTTGGAATCCAATGGTCTTTTCTGTTTCGCTGTTGACATGAAATCATTCATCCACATCGAGTCTCAGGAAGATTGTGTTTAACTACAAAACGACCTCAATCGTTTTGTTGACTGGTCTAAGTCTATAAGACTCTTGAATCAAATATAAACAAATGTAGTATGATGTCTTTTACGAGAAGACACTCTCATATTTTATTCTCTTATAATGTAAATGGTAACACTCCACTAACTCATCTAACGACTTTGTACTTGACCTGAGTTTCAAACTAACGAGATGTCTAGATTCTAGACCTCATATAGATGTGGTGTGTTGCATTGCTTTGAAATCACTTGGATTTATTATGCGAAATGCTCATTCCTTCAGTAACGGTTTATCCCTTAAGGCACTCTACTGCGCTTTGGTGCGGAGTATTCTGGAGGGGCAGCGTATCCCAAGTATCCCATCTAGTATCCCAATACGATTTCTAAGCACTCTACAACTTGAACGTGTACTGATACAGTTTCTCAGGTTCGCTGATTCATTGCTAAAAACCCCACATACCCGACATGATCATACACCTGTAGCTACAAGACTAAAATATACTCACCTACCTGACATACCATCCCCGTTCAGAATTGTTTTTTGCATACCGTGATATTATATCAAAATGTACCCTCCTCTTTTCGGCTAAAACTTACTTAAAGTAAGTTCCCTTTTTCCGTTCATAGTTGGGTTTTTGGAAATAAAGATAAACTAGTATTATTCCTTGTTAGTTGTTTGATATAATATAACGTAAAACGCTGCCCAATCAATTATAGTGTGGTGTGTTCTATAGACTGTAGAGGCAATAATGTATAGCATGGCAGTATAGTATAGTCCATGGATGGACAACTCAAAGTTACTAGACTGCCAATTTTTAGAAAATTAAAATCTAGAGGGCCAGAAAATAAAAAGCAAAAAAAAAGGTTATCATTCAAAATATACATTTTAATTAGCATTTATTTTGTTAATAATGTAATTTAAAAATGTAGCTAGAGCTAGATAAAAAAGGCTAGCGGGCTACCAGTTGCCCACTCTATAGAGTAATTCGCTAATGCCAATATGTTATATCTTATCGTTTTCATCTTATCTAATATACGAGTATAATACTATAATATTATAGGCATTATGGAAAATCAATGAGGTATTCGATGTTTTTATCATAATTATTACTATAGAGTATAGAGGTTTTATACAACTATATTAATTTTTATTCAAATACTGTATTAGGAAATCTTAAGTTTCGATATTTTTAAGAATGCGTATTAAATTATAATAATTATTGTTATACGTGTACTGTAAGACTATATCCATTTTTGTTCGATTAATGTGTTATTCGAATATGTTATAACAGTTAATTGCCAATTATTGTTTTATTTTATTATATTTTCACACAATTGTAGGTAGGTAATAATGTTAAGTAAAGAAACTACTGGCCGTAAAGTGACACTGATCAAAAAGGGAAGGGTACATTTTGGCCGAAAAAGCAGCCCTTCATATTATTGAATTCAAATTTAATATACCATTCATTATAGCAACTTCCTAGATACCTAATTTAGAGCGGATCATCCACTTACCTTCTTTTTAAATATTATAGTTCCGTGCTATCGTATTATGGGGTCGGACCGGGCTGATGCAACGGTAAAAACACAAAGCTGGATTTAGCTCAATGAATAATTTAGATAAATAAAATAATTAATCAGATTAAAATATAATACTATTTCAATATTTCATTGATTTCATGATTGATTTTTTTTTTGTTAAAAGACGATACAAACAGATAATGAAATAACGTTATGTAATAATTTTGTTTAATCATATAAATTATAGCACAGTCATTGTCACAGACTAAGGTTAATTTTTAACAAAATACATTTTTGTAATTTTTGTATAATACAGTGCTTAAAACTTACATATTTTTATATTTGTAAATAATCAATTAATATAAAGATATAGTGTACATAAGAAACGCGATTGACTTCAAATATGACTTAATCTTCATGATTATTAACATTAATAGAATTAGGTACGCCAATAATATTATTGGTACTAGGTTGACAAGAAAGTTTATTCTTCCATAAACTTAGTATTACTTCTAAGAGTAATATATTTTTAATTATTATTATTATTGTGGATCTATTGCCTATGTAGTGCCTTTCATAGAATATAGGAAAAATCTACTGTCAAGTCTCATCAATCCTCAGAAAACTAATTTACGTGAAAATCGAATTACATAACTTGAAGAGAGGGTTATTTATGGTCTCAATAAAATGTCTATATATTTTGCAGAAGTTTTTGTAATTTCCGTCAGTAGTGTCGGATTATCTTCTATCGAATTTAATTTCGATCGGTTTTTCAGACGACCGCACGCCACTGTGAAATCAACGTTCAAGTAAACCAATGGCTTAGGCACTGGTCCACAGCCCTCAGGAATATTCAAATTTAAAATGTAATATTATGCAAAACAACAAAAAGCAATTATTTAGGTCACAATCAGTGAACGTACCCATTATACAAACTGGTCACGAAAAAATTCACTGTCTACCGACTATATATATTTACAGCAATTAACGTCGTTAGCGACTATGGACGACTCCCGCTGTGCAGCCATATCATAATAATATAGCCTGACTTATCATTCACCACGTTGTTTTAAGCTTTCGTTTCGAATTCAGGTGGTGTGGCGTGACGTCGTACGTATTTTTTTATTTATGTCTGGCGCTTTTCTTCAAAGTTACATGGAATTTTCATTCTTGGAGTACTATGCTTACCTACTGTTTTTTGTGAATATTAATTTTTCGAATTATTCTATCTACAAAAACGGAAAAATAAAATCGTTGGTACATTGTCGTGAATGAGTATATTATTATTAATA